TCACAAAATACCTATCTTAAAATCCCTTACTTCATCTTTGGCAGCTGTAGTAAGAAAGGATCCAGAAACAAAAGTTACAGAGACCAGGAAACAAGGAATTAAAAAATAAGTTGATAAAAAAGCAATAGAAGACATGAAAATTGCCTTTCTCAAGAATCTCAAAAAGACCAATCTAATTTTAAAGTGCAGCTAACGTTTAACAAAGTAACACTCCCAGGAAATTCTGAACACAGCAGAGTATGGAGGAAGCCAGCAAATGAAATAAACAGTTTCAAGTATGGCTCCATGCTTTTTGAATTCTATGTTGAAATTCAAAACTGTGGAACTAGAAACAGCCATTCAGTAGTACTGAGATGACAGAACTCAAACCATAAATGCTTTCTAGTCTTACCAGATTAAGTTTTCTAAGTCTACATAAAAAACTAAATAATAGTAATAAATAGTCAATCTACCCTGTTTTCTATGAACCCACATTTCCAATGCTCCCAATCCAAATGACTACTGTATTCTATAAATTCAGGTAAGAAAACTACTTTTTCTCAGTGAAAAGCCTGAAATATTAATGAAATCCCAAAACCTGAAAACAAATCACATCATCAGAATATTTAACAGTAAATTGTCTGGAATACATTCATCCATTAACAGATCATGAGGTATGCTTTTATTCCATGCTAGATGACATCTTCAACTCTGTCTAAAATCATTGCTTCTTATCCAGGAAGAAAGAGGTGAAAAGGTGGGAAGGGCAACTCCCTCTTCATTTGCTTTTATTTTATTATTCATCAAAACGTGGAGAAAGACCAGGACATTGACCACTTGTTCAGTGAAGTGATCAAAGGTTTATCTTCAGTGTTTTCAGCATTTGCATTGTACTCTTTACAGCTTTTCATCCTGAACTCTGAGAAACTAGGGGTTTGTTGCTGTTGTTTACGAGGGAAATACCCATCCGAAACTCATTTGTAAATGAAATCTGAAAAGAACATTTGTACTAGTATTTCTGGTTATTCCTGTTTCTAGATCTCCAGTAAAAATATATTACTGAAGTTTTCAGGAGCAAAGCCAAAAAAGTCTGGAAAAAGTCACGTTAGCATGTCAGAATCTGAAGTCATAGAATCATAGAACCCTTAGAGTTGGAAGGGATCACTGAAGGCCATCTAGTCCAACTCCCCTGCAATGAACAGGGACAGCACAGCTAGATCAGGTTGCCCAAGGCCTTATCCAGCCTTGTCTTGAAAGACTCCAAGGATGAGGTATCAACCACATCAGCAGGCAAGCTGTTCAGTGCCTCGCCACCCCCTTCATAAAAGATTTTTCCCTCACATCTAACCTAAATCTATCATCTTTGAGCTTGAAGCCATTTCCCTTTGTTCTATCACCACAGACCCTGCTGAAGAGTCTGCCCCCTTCTTTCCTGTAGCTCCCCTCAGATACTGAAAGTTTGCAAGTCATAACTTGCAAAACTGAATATTACATTCATTGTTTTCTAAAGCACTTTTTAATTTCACAGAAGTGTTCATGGAAGGAGCTGAGTTTATTTGTAAATGAGGATTTAGATTTACAAAACACACTTTCCTGTCAATGCAAGAAAGGAGCTAACTTGTTGCTTTCTCTTGGGATACAGGGTTTAGGAATGTGCTATTGAAAGCTAAGTCTATATTTAGTCTATACTTGAAAAATACACGTTTCTTCTGGTGTACAACAGTACTTTTTTTTTCCAGTTGCAAAGTCCCATTAGAAGATTCTTCCACCTGGAATCTGATGCAATTTCCCACTTGCACACTCAGATTGCATTTACTTTCCCAAATATCAAACCACTTCATTGTTTTGCTTTGTCTACTTCTACTTTTATATTTGCTGCCTGCAGGTTATTGTAGAGGTTTCAGATTTCAGATCAGTAAATATTAATATATTGAGAATAAGCCATTTCTACACAATCAGCTTAGACAGGATAACAAACCAAGGACAGAAAAAAAAATGAGCACAAACAGTAGGTCCCTTTGAACGTTGATCTCTGGCACTGGATTTTGAGAATTATCAAAAAATTGATGGGGATTTTGTCTGTGACATGCTTTCAAACATACTTCTGGTAGAACAATAAAACATAGCTACTTCTTAAGAGACCTGTTAAAAACTCACACCTTGTACATCATCCACAAGGCTTTAGAAAGATTTTCGTATTCAAGCTAGAAACGTGAAGTTACCATTTTTAGTTGGAAATTCTTTTTGCACACTTTAAGCCAGGGGCTCCTTGGGTTAATATTAATGAGATCATGTTCACCTCTACCAAATAAATACTAAACGGAGTAATTGCTTAATGTATTAGTAGCAACCAGATATTTAACTATGCATTCTTATTTTTAAATTTCAAACCTGACAGCCTCTAGGTGTTGAACTAAATGAGACTAAATGAGAATAAGAATACTCAGAGATTCCTTGAAGAATTCAAGCCGACAAAGACTACCTGCTTGCATTACAAAGATACATGCAGGCAGAGCCTAGAAATGCAAAGAGCAGCTCCCCAGTTGGAGCAAATACCAGATTTAAAGTATTCACTGTTAGAGCAAGCAGCTTAAGTCCTAAAATTAAAGTATGTTGCATCAGTAGTGATTATTCAGAGGACAAACTGCTGTGATTCTCTACTTTTTTCAAATAACTTGTATCTAGGCAATGATGCTTCAAATATTACAGCAGTGGTTTGGAATTTTTTACACTGATCCATGAATTTAAGACTTTACCATTTTATCTTTTCCTCTTCAATGACAAAATAAGAACGATATTACTTACAGCCTTCCTGGCCTGAAAAATTCTACATCAGCAGAAAGCATTATTTTTAGAATCTCCTTCAACTGAGATTTAAGTGTCACCAAAGTCCTCATAGAAAATTTTAAAAGAAAAGAAAGAAGTTCCTCCTTCCACAGGACAGTACAATTAAAATGGTCTTGTAGCCCAATGCTTCATGATCCACACAAATTAGATAGAGGATCTGAAAACACTAGGTCTACCATCATAGACAAATAGTGAGGTCAGGTCGCTTGCACCTCTATACCTAAGAAGAACTACCACTGTCTCATTACAAAGTATGTACCCTTTCCTTCAATGGCTTTTCTTTTCCTGGCAGTTGGTACATTGTTACTTTTAGAAGATAGCAAGTGAGCTTCAAATGTAAACCAGTTAGGAACATCTGTATCTCAAAGCCCCAAATTACACGAAGACTCCAAAACATGCAGCTCCTGGGATCTTTTCCAATCGTTGAAAAGTGTCTATAACACACTAAGGACAGACTCCTAGCCTACAGCACTTCTGCGCTTCCCTTCATAATTTCATTCAAGCCTAAAGACAACGAGTATTTGCTTTCCGAAGACAAAGCTGGAAGTTTTCTTCGCTGGCAAAATACAACATCTGAGAAAAAATAACGGCAATAAAAGTATCTCCAAAGCATCTATTTAGCATTTACTCTATTAACCTTAGAAACAATTACTTTGAGGTCAAGCACAGAAAATTCCTAGTAGTATTAGATAAGAAAATTCTGTAGATCAACCATAAACCATCTTAAAAGAAAGTAAAAATCTGCTTTTCATGACACTTACTCAGGGAACAACAACAACAACAAAAATAAAAAATAAATGAGGAAGCTGTGTATTCAGAAGCATATGCTATATATTTTTTTCTTTATATAGTTCCAGTGATTTCTTCTCCTGGGTATCAATTGCACCAAGAATTTTACTAATCACAGCTATCACCAGCACAGCTGTCAGCAAATAATATAAGCGAAGCTTATCCCATTTTGGAACAAGGATGCATTTTGTTATCAGTCTGAACAGCTACCGTGCCTCACTGAATTAATGGATCCTCTAAGTGCACACAAAGCCAGAAACAGCTGTAATTAGGACAAATTCACAGTATCCAAGTTCAGCTGAATAATACCAACTTCTCACTACTCATATAAAAATTTTAAATGCTTAATGAGGTGCCTATCAGCCTCTTTTTTTTTTTTCCATCTCCAGATATATGTTAAAAATTATCTCTATAATCTCTATTCATACAAATCTTTTGGACTCGTACACTATCCTTTATACAGCCTCCTTTTATCTGGTGAGTTTTGATCAGTAGTTTCATTCAAGCCCTCAACCATTACGTCAAGATTCTACCTTGAAGCACAAGAATTTACAACCCAGATTTAAAAAAAAAAAAAACAAGAAAACATTTTCCTGACGTCAACCTTTCATAACAGCAGCAGTGTAATGGAAACTAAGTGCTGCACATGGAAATTCAGACTACAGTCACCAAAATACATGCTCACTTTCACAAGAAGTTCTATTGTACTTTCAGCGTCCAAGAGAAGAAAATTTGTGTATGACTAGATGCTGAAATAAAAAACAAGGCAAAAAGGAGATGATTTCTCAGTGAAGTTTGAGACGGCACATAAGCAGAAAAACAGTCAGCAAGTCAAGCCACTTATGTCAACCCAGCAAAGACTGCTCTGGAAGAACGTTCTTAGGAGAGCATCTATCATGTATCCAGTGTTATCAAATTCTTAAGCTGGCAAACGTAGGGTTTATCCTAGCAGCCAAAAAGAGTTTAGATTAAAAACCAAATGCATCAAGAAAGAATTTGACACAGATGTGAAGACAGCATCAAGCAACACCCCTGATTGAGTCACAAGCATCAGAACATTAGAAGTGAGTCTCCAAACAGACGATTCCATAAGATTTATGTATTTTCTTAGAATCTGCTCTTTAGTACATGCTCTCTGTAAGAACAAGTTTATAAAAACAGGTAAATTGTGCATCGGCTGGGAATTCATACACTCCTCACATAAAGTTCTCCTTGAAAGACAACTGAAGAGATTACCACATTGAAAAGTGATTTGTTAGTTTTGAATGCTATTGACATCCAAAGTTCTCTTGACAGATTTTTAATGGAATTTCTATCCTCCTTTTCTTTGTAGACTGACATCCCTCCCTTCCCCCAAGTTCGGAACAGGCTTTTTGATTGCTTACATTTCCTCTGTTTTATTTGAATCTCATTTGATCTGCAGTTTGAGAAGAGGGAAGAAAAAAAAGCACTTTCTCAATGGTCTGTAAGCGCTCTCTTTACTCTTGACAAAAAGAACTTTGCAGGTCTGCCTGGCTTCTTTCTTCACCCTAGAGAAAGAAAAGTTGAATTTACATCACATATCACCTTCATTCAAAAATCACGTACACGTTTTTCAGCATCGATAAAGTCAGTCCAATGAAACTGAGTATCAAACTAATTTTTAATGGCAAATTTTAAAAATAGTGAAGAAGAGTATATGTAACATATAAACAAATGATTTTTGTTTTCCTTTCCACTATTGCTCACAGAGTACTTTTCAATGAAACAATATTATATAGCAGGACCTACACAAAGTGAAAGTTATGGTCAATTTTTTCTGCCTTCATACAAAACTTCTCCACCCAGATGCATTAGTTGCCATCACGGACTGTAAAGAACTTTACAGGGCAGCACAAACTTCTCCTTAACAGTCTGTCAAATTCTATTTGGAAACATTACTCCTGGAAAATTAATTCTGGAAAAGTAACCAAATATTCTGCAGACTTTCTCCAAAAAGCACTCACCCTAAGACAATATTCAAATACACAGTTAGAAGAAAGTAACACGTGTTAGGGAAACTTTCTCGAACTTAACATTTTAACAGGCACAGAGAAGAGGAGGAAGAGTCTGAAAGCATCATTAATGGAAGACTCCAATCTCTATCTACGTACATTTCTAAAGGTGACAGTCAAGTTTAAATGGAACAATGCCACACTACCACTCAGGCAACCAATACACCAACTCTAAATCCCCACAGACTTCTCATATTTACACTTCAAGGACAACACTTTGCGGCCATCTTGTAGAAAACTCATTCGACCATATACAATGCACACAGCAAAACCACATTTTTGCAATACTTTTAGTTTCTCAGCTCTTGTCAATGAAGTTTGCAGCCACCTACCACAGAGCCTAACAGTGTCAGAAAAGTCTGAAAAACGTGACCAGCTATTCCGTAGTGCCAATGCAACGATGCTCCCAGATGACACTAAGCAGACTGGCACCAAGGGCCCAGCTTGGCAGGGTACTCCCAGCTGTCATCCTGCACAAAATGCTGCAAAGATGGATCAACCTCAGCAGTTACATAGAACTGTTTATGGAAATGAAGACAGTCACAGAATTACAGATCTGACACTGAATGTGCGAGGCTTTCATTCTCCTAATCATGTCTAAAGCAACTTTGTAACATGAGACCAAGATGATAACAGTTGTTTAGAAACGCCACAGATTTTCAGAGCTATTAAATAGGTCCTTTTTGATCTTTATCACATGTTTCACTTCACCTTTGCTCCTCAGGAAGTAAAAAGGCAGGGCTACACTTCTAATAGAGCAGACCACAATCCTACTAATTAAGGGTAATGAGTGGCTGCAGACTCTACAAAAAAAAAAAAATACACTGACATTTTTCATGACCAATGAAAGCCCAATCTAACTCTAGAAAGAAATCTGGAAAAACAGCCTAACACTAAGATGTACAGAAACAAACTGTTACCCATATGAAAAGGAGATCTGCATCTGTACGGTACTTCCCCCACCAAAATAGTGTATTAACTCCCAATGAGCCCACATTGCTAGTAGATGTCACAAATTTCAATACTAAAGTTCAATACAGTAACTCACAAAGTTACAAGTTTCAAAGCTCTTTTAAACTCCTACACAGAATTTAGACACAGATTATGATTCTCCTCGTCACTGTACATGCCATGTACACTTGCCATGTACATGCCCAGCTATAAAGCTTAATTTAGTGTAGGGAGTTTTTAGCTCTCAGCCTCTCCTGTTTTCCTACACACAACTCCTTCCAATTGACAAAGTAGTTACGGGCCTCCACATTTTCACTCTTACTGAATGAGCTCCACATCTAAGTTGCAGCATTATGATGGTGCTATATCCTTAAATCTCTGACATCAAAAAACATGCAGAGACAGGAAAAAGACATCGAAAAGATTGGTTTTCAACTCTTATGATAAACATAAAAGACCAAACATTCCAAGAACATTGTTCTTGAAAAGAAATTTCCATTGTTATACTGAAAAATCAGAGTTAGAACTGACAAAATAATCTTTTAATTCATACATAGTACAAATTTTTTTTCTCAACTTGAGTACACTAGAGGATCCACAAACTTTATTACAATGAATTTCCATGTGTTGCAAGCAATTAAAAAGATAACCAAAACTTCTACTCTCCAACAGAATGCAGTTATTGTTGCATGCTACATCATGCACAAATTACTTCCATTATCCTTTAAATGTCAGGCAACAAAGTATCTTACCTTACTCTCCACTGTCTGAGCACAAAGGATTAAATACAAAGTATTAGGCAGAAACTGCAAGTATTTCATATCAAAGAATAAACTAATCACTGCATCACTAAATGTATTGGCTTTCTGGCATGACATGCAAACACTAGGAACACTTAATGAAGACTGAACCATGCCCTTTTCCACAAGCAGCCACATCTCTGAATCAGGAACTGAACTGCATCCATTCATTACTTTCTGCTCCCAAATGCAGATCTCAGTAAAAGGAGTCACCACAGCCTGATTTTCCCTTCTAGTAATCCTTGCCAATTACTGCACTGCAGTCTTCCTGATGGTTACACAAAATGCAGGTAGGGACGGACTGAAGGTGCCCAGAAAAGAAGCAAAAATTTACAGTATAGCTTGTTTCAATAATCTCCTGCCACATCAGATGTGGGTTTAAGGAAATAAACTGCAGTTTGGTGGGATCTCTAGGATTTTTTCTACTATTCTTCCTTTTGGACTCCAGCATCATTCTTCATCTATTTTTTGTTCATACAATTTTTTTTTGTTGTTTTTGCTTCGTTGTTTTTTTGCTGAACAGCAACCTTCAGCAGCCCTTCAGCACCCTGTACCTCACTTCCAGACTTCTTGCTGCAGCCTCAGGAGAAGGTGCAAGATCCAGTATTCAGAACACGTTATTATTTGGAGAAAAGCAGGAAGGACACTGGAAAGAAATTTCATGTGCATGAATCCTTTTGGCTTCTGGCTCCCAGTAGTGAAAAAAAATTGCTTGTTTTTAGTGGCATGCTTCAACTAGGCTTACACTGACCTTTTAAAGAAAAGGTAACGGGCAACATAGGTACAGCTTCACAGATATAATCAACACATCTACTACTCACTTCCCCACCCACAGATAGAAGACAGATTGCTTTCTCACAGCCGTGCACAAGTCCTTAGCTTACTCTTCACAGGGGTTCCTGAGTTTCCAGGCACTGAAGTAACAGTCTTACAACTTGGGTTGTTTTCTTTTGTTTTCTTTCTTCTCCAGCATGGCATAGGTCCCATACAGAGTTTCAGTTACTTAAGCTTGCAATTATTAAGAATTTATTCAGTGCCAAAGGTCATCTTCAGTTTAGAGCCTCTTCTAAAACCCCCTGGTTTGTACACTTAACATTAAGTACTACATTAAAAATATATAATAACAGATTTGGAAAGGGGAAAAGCCTGGTGGCTTTGATATAAGGGTAAAAAATTAAAATATGAGAAGAACTAATAAGTACAAACTTTCTACGTGACTTAAAGCACTTCTGTACTTTTCTGTTCTCCTTCACTGAGGAAGAAGGTATGCTGCCTCCTTTCTCTCTCCTCATTTGGACACCCTATCAAGTTCCCATCTCTTCATATACTTGTATGTGTATTACTTCGAATAATACAGCTTCAGTCTGAAGTTGGGAACTGCCTAACTAAAATAAGGAACAACAGCAAGAAAATCTTAGAAAAGCTGGGGGAAAGGAGGACCAGAAATATCCCTTCCTCCAAAAAAAAGAGAACATAAATGGTAAAATAAGATCTTTTAAGTACCTTTCAGTTTCTGCATCTAGTCTAAAAGTAGCATCTTAACAACATTTTTTTACTTATGTTGCTTCAGGACACTGAAAATTCCTTCAAGACAGACATGTGCAGTCTCTAAGGATCCTAAGAGAATCCTTAGATTCTCTTAGGAGAAAAAAACCCAACACCTACCATTACATTACAAACTAGGGCCAAGGAAGAAATTCTTGCAGAAAAGTAGCAAGTCTGCTTGACCAGTTGTTCAGGATTCCCAGAGTTTCTCCTATGTGGAATGTTCTTTGTCATAATGCTTAAAAGAACTGTACCAAAAAAAAAAAATAATCTTCAGATGTACTCCTTTTCCATACAAAGTTTTGAAAGAACTTCTCTAGCTTCCAGCCTTATAAAACTGCACCTGCTCTGAGGAACAGGACACAATCTCATGTTCTGTAGTCTCAGAGTATCATCTGCTGCTGCTCTCTGAGGACACGACCCCTGCTGCTCACCCAGAGTACTCAGGAATATTCTGTGTTCTTGTCAAGAAGTTAAAAGGAGCATCTGTTTCACTTTTTCTTGTCCACACTCATTTTACAGATAAAACCAAAGGCAAACAGGACTGCCAGACTTCTGTAGAAGTATCTTTTCTTTCCAAACTTCAGAAAAAGGAAGGCGTAACAAGGAAGGAAAGGAGAACCCCAAAAATATTTAATGTACCATTCTAAAATATTTCTTCCTCTTGACTAAGGAAGTGGCTAACATTTATAGTGTTTCTAAGCTATTTCAAAAAAAAAAAAAAAAGTCTCCCACTGGTATTCAATGAAATAGAGATAATAATACTTACCTTGGTTGCAAATAGAATAAAATTGATACAATGTACCTAAAAATTATTAACAAAGAAACCTCCATTACTATCAGGGATCATAATTCCACCAAGCAGACACTGCAGAAGAATTTGCTGAATAGTCCACTTGGATTGTGTGGAAGACACAAAAGAAGAGTGGTGCTGAGAGGGCTGGCTTACAGAAACAAGAGAAACTTGCTTGAGATTTGAGGCATCACAGCCGAAAGCAAGTTCAAGCACTGAAGGCGATTTGTAAAATTAATACCATCAACTTGGAGATGTGAAAACATAAAGGAGAATAAGGTACTTTACGGTTTCACACAATTACAGGAATTCTACCCCAACTCCCCCCCCAAAACAAAACAAAACCAAAAAGAGAAAACAACACTCACACGACTGTCACAAGATTTCTAAAATTACAAAAACAATGTATATAGGGAAAAAAAAAATCACAACCTACCTGTTTACAGGAAAAAAATCCACAGCGCAAACACAGTGATACACAAGACTGCAGTGTGTACTTCCAATGGATTAATACATTGTCTCCTGCTGCTGAGAGCTGGTCTTGATTCAGTTAAAGCCTAAGCATTCAGGCTTTCCTGCTGGGAAACAAACAAGTAAAGTTGGTTTCAAGTGTCTTCTTTTAATATACAGAAACAATTCTCTCAAGCTTGAAGGCATTAAAGAGAAATAGTACGTTAAAAGTTGCGTGAAACCATACAAACTACAGCAACTCAAAAAGCCACACTGAAATTTATTAGTTGACTAGAAAATTCATTGCAAAAATGTATTTGCTTCAAGGAGGAAGTCACCACTGTCACCACGGAGTGAGTCAAGTGATCTGCAAGAATGTTTTACATAATGGGAAAATTTTTATTGGCCAGAGGTTCACAGTGTTCTTAAATTTCCAGAAACTGCAGATGTAAAGATACTTCTGTTAACCTGAACCAAAACCAAGAAAAGAAACCATCTATCTGAGATGCATGCTCCATTTCTCAACACAGGTCTAATTTTACTAGCTACTGTACTTCAACCTATTCAGCAAAGGAAACATTCACACTCAGATGAAAAAGAGAGGACATACAAAGACTGAAAACAAAGGTAGGTTTAATATCGCCATCGAACAGCATCAAAACCCACTGGCTACCATACCAAGGCCATATCTGAGTTGCAATACTGAGAACTAAATGTAGTTTAAGCTACCAATTTATTGTAAAAAAATAATTATTTGTGAAACAATCAGAATGGATTTACAAGAAGGCACAATACCATCTTAATTCTTCCATGCTCACTTTACTGGAAAATAAAAGCCAACAATAGAGCCAACGATCACTACAGTCAGTCAGTAACAAACTGAAAGGTTTTCTTGCCTTCTTTTACCAACAAAAACATACTCCAGCACAACTACAGCATAAAATCCAGTTCACTCAGAGTAACTATGATGAGGGAATCTTTCCTCCATTTTTCAGGAGTTGATAACAGCTTTCAATCAATCAGGCAGCTCAAAATAAAATCAGAGCATAAATTCAAAGCATTTCACAGTTCAAATATTCTTCTTAGTCTGCTGAAAATGCAATAAATTTTAAAATTCAGATTGTCCAGATTATTGCTTATAGCTTAGTTTCTGCTTTTATTTTATCTTTTTTTTCACAATAGTAAGAACTAAGTCTTCTTTTTTAATTATACAACTTTTGGGAAGTTGCAAATTGAATAAATACTTTTAATTAATGTTGTGGATGTTCATTGCAGAAGTATTAAGATATGAGTTCTAGAGTATTTTAGATTGCAAAAATCAAACATTAATTAAATCTATCTATATAGCAGCTCAAAAACAGAAAGACCACATTTGTTTTAATGCTGAAATACAACTGGCACTTTGGGAAGAGTACAGCAATGCCAGGCATACATCAGGAAAGACAAGGCAAAGGTGGAACTAAACTTGGCAAGGGATGTGAAAAAAAAAAAAAAAAAAAGGGGGATTCTACAGGTATATTAGTTAGAAAAGAAAGACCAAGGTGAACATAACCCCGTCATGGTTTCTTGGTTTTTCATCAGTATTCCACATCATAACATCATGCAGTGCACTGGAAGTTAAAGAGTGAATGCTGCAGTTCCATGGATTGTCAGCGTTTCCAGTCTTCAGTTTCAGAAGAGAAGAATGAACAGCAACTCCCAGAAAACTGCATTTTCCTGTTTCCATTTTCCATTCAGAGGGAAAGATAAAATCGACTGGGAGTCACGAGACCTCTCTCTGCTCCCTGGCAGCTTCACCTACATTAGAATAAGGACTTCAGAAACTCTCTCTTTTGCATTTTATTTGACTTATTAGCTTCAATTTCCAAACACATTGTATGATATTGTGTTACCTCACATTCCACTACTACATTTACTAATCCAAGTTTTTCCTTCAGCTCATTGTCACTGTTTTCCTTCATCCAGGTCCAGCTCCCTACCTTTTCCTTTCCCCCATCCCCTTCTTTTCCCAGGGTATGAAATGGTGGGTACCTTCACTTACATCGTGAAAATAGGCTGAACTCAGAATACCTCTCAATAAATGAGAAGGGAGAAATGATAACCACAGACATGGTTACAGCTACTCAAAAAGTTACTTGCTTCAGTCTCTCACATTCCTAAACTACTAGGTGGGAATTGAGGAAGCAAAAACCATCCCACTGTAAGCAAAGAGCTAGTTAGAGACCTCCTGATGAGACTGAATGTCTGCAAGACTGTGAGGCCCCATGACATGCACCCCTAGTTGCCAAGCCACTCTCCATCACATCTGAAAAGTCACAGCAGTCAGGTAAAGCCCCCATGACTGGAAAAAGGAAGATATGGATTTGAAGGCTGGACCCAGTGGATTCAGTGGATAAGGAATCAGTTGGATGGTTGCAGCCAGAGGGTTGTAGTCAACAGCTCTGTGTCCAAGTGGAGGCTAGTGACAAGTGGTGTCTTCAAGGGTCTGCCTTGAGACCAGTGCTCCTCAACATCTTTATCAATGACCCAGAATAGTGGGATTGAGTACATGCTCAGCATGAGGATGTTTCTCACTCAGAGGGTGGTGATGCACTGGAACACATTGCCCAGAGAGGTTGTGGATGCCCTGTCCTCAGGCATTCAACACAAGGCTGGATGTGGCTCTGGGCAGCCTGGTCTAGAGGTTGCCAACCCTACCATGGCAGGGGGGTTGAAAATAGACAATCTTTGAGGTCCTTTTCAACCCAGGCCATTCTATGTTTGCTCATGACACAAAGCTGAGTAGTATAGTTGATACAACAGAAGGTAGGGATGCCATCCAAAGGGACCAGCACAAGCATGAAAAGTGGGTCCACATGAACTTAAGGAGGCTCAACAGTACCAAGCTAAAGGTGTTACACTTCAGTCATGGCTATACCAGATATTGTACAGACTGGGAGAACATATTGAGAGCAGCACTGAGGAGGACTTGAGGGTCCTGGAGAATGAAAAGCTCAACATGAGGCAGCAATGTGCACTTGCACTCCGGAAGGCCAACAGTACCCTGGGCTTCATCAATGGGGAGTGGCCAGCAAGGCAAGGGAGGTGACTGTCCCCCTCTTCTCTCACCTCAAGAGACTTCATCTGCAGTACTGCATCTAGTCCTGGGCCTCTGGCACAAGACAGACATAGAACTGCTGCATCCAGAGAAGGGTCACGAAGATGATCAGAGGGACTGGAATACCTCTCCTGTAAAGAAAACCTGAGGGATCTGTGCTTGTTCAGTTCAGAGAAGAGAAGGCTCCAGGAAGACCATTTTATGGCCTTCCAATACTTGAGGAGAGTTTTTAAGATGGAGAGAGATCAACTTTTAACATGGGCATTTAGGGATAGGACAGAGAGGAATGGTTTTAAACTAGAAAGGGGAAGATTTAGATAAGGAACTCGGAAGAAATTTTTTTACTCACAGTATTGAGGCACTGAAACAGTTTGCCCAGAGAAACAGTGTATGCCCCATCCCTGGAGGTGTTCAAGACCAGGCAGAGTGGGGCCCTAAGCAGTCCGATCTAGTGAGTGGCAACCCTGCCCACAGCACTGGGACTGGAACTAGATGATCTTTAGGATCTCTTCCAACCCAAGCCATTCATTCCATGATTCTATGAAATCAGAAAGCATATTTTTAACTGTTATCTGGGCATGAACCCACACATTTATCTGAAGGCTCAAGTTCTATCTTTGGAACACACAGCCCAAGTAGTAGTAATGTAGCTGCACTACCTAAGAAAAATACAACACATCTGAGCTGCAGCAGCCAAAGCAATGAATTGTGCCAAAGACCCAAAGTTGCCAGCAGCTTTTCCAGAAACCAGCACAGCTTTTTACATTCTGCAGGATAACTGAACACCTTCACCCTGCACCCAGCCTTCCTATTGGTCTGAAGAGCATGGTATTTTCAGTGGCTTCATCAACTTTATCCATCAAGCGAACACCAGTCCTCACCTTCCATGAACTAGCAGGCTGCACTCCCTGTATGCCTTATCAAAAAACCACAGCCAGAACAATACTGGTTTTGTGGTCTGCCTTAGTTTTTCCACCTAAAGGCAGCTGATGCTCTTCAAATTCTAAGTATAAGCACAGCTCTTCCTAGTGTGTCATGCAATCAGAAGTCATACTGGAGCAAGTTTAATCCGTTCTTTTGAAAGATGGTCCTAAAACGATCGGAAATCTTTGAGCCACTGCCATAAGCAAGGGTCATGCCATGAAAGCACCTTTCCTCAACTCAGATAGGAATACAGTGCTACAGAGGGTTCAGTACAGTCTTGTCAAATAACGTATTTCCACTTGCTTAAGGAAAGGGCCTTAGTACAGTAATACAAAACTGCACCATGACAGAAAAAAAAAAAAAAAAAAAAAAGAGAAAGCAGTACTAGCAAACCAGACAAGAGGCAAAGAACACAAAAAAAGAATTCCTTGCAGCAGCAGCAAACAGACGTATGCTAGCCCCTAGTGTAATCCTATAAAGAAAGGAAGAAACGAGCAGATGAAGGCAAACAATATCACCACACAACTGGAAGGCTCCTTTGCTCCTGTAGTTGAGACCTCTGTCCTTCTACTGTACTCTGCTCGTAGGCAGATTAAGAAGCCCCTCCTTGGTTGATGACACCAAGCTGAGTGGTACAGGTGATACACTAGAGGGAAAGGATGCCAACCAGGACCCGGACAGGCTTAAGAGGTGGGTCCAAGAAACCTCACAAAGTTCAATACAGAAAAATGCAAAGTTCTCCATCCAGGTAGGAGCAATCCCAAGCACAAATACAGGCTGGGCAGAGAATGGCTTAAGAGCAGCCCTAAGGAGGAGGATTTGGGGGTGCTGGTTGAAAGATTCAACTGAGGCAATGTGAGCTTGCAGCCTGAAAAACCAACTGTTTCCTGGGTTGTATCAAGAAAAGCGTGACCAGCAGGGGAGGTGATTCTGCCCCACTGCTCTCATGAGATCCTACCTGGAGTACTGAGTCCAGTTCTGGGGCTCCCAACACAAGAAAGGCATGGGGAAGTTAGAGCAGGTCCAGAGGAGGGCCATGAAGACAATTAGAGGGTTGGAACACCTCCCCTTGCAGGGACAGGCTGAGAGAGTTGGAGGTTTTCCGCC